CTGGAGCTGTTTTTAATACATGGATAAACTATTTTATCCCTGATTCAATATTTGTGCTGTTGATTTCCTTGCCCTTACCATTTATTTTTTGCAGCCCTCTTTTGCTTTATTTTTCCTCGTACCTTTTCATATTGTTTGCTTTAGGTGTAGGCTGCGGATTTGTGTTCACACTGCAATCAGTCAGTCTGGTCATACATGCAAGCCAGTTCATGGGTCAGTGGCAGTAGGGTGGATACTACCCTGGAATAACTACACCCACCCCATTGGACCCCTTCCAAACAGACACTGCAGGTTATGGGATGGCATGGTGAGGAGGGTCCTTCTCCCCATTTCAGTTTCTGGGTGGAACAAAGGTGTGAGGAGGAAGTTAGCAGGCTAGGGTCGTTCAGAGTGGAAAAGAAACTGTGGTGGTTTGTAATAGGGGCTGAGAAGACCGTGAGTTGCATGGAGAAAGAAATCTGGAATAATGAAGAAAGTAAACTTTCAATTGTCTCCTCTGCCATGAGGATGGGGACCAAAAGGGAAGCCWGCAAGTGTCAAAGCCAGAGAAGCTTCCTCTTCTTGCAGTGTGTCATTCAGCTGAGAAACTTCTGCCTGCAGGAAGCAGCAGAGGCTAGTTGGCTCATCAGGTTCAGAAAGTGGGCAATTATTTTTAAAAAAGCTACTGTCTGGAAAAAGTGACATGATGGTGATCTTTCTTTGTATTTTATTGCACAAAAGTCCAAAGTGTTTTGCTGAGAAGGAGAAGTACCTTTTGATGACTGTTTTTTGACTAATACATGATGTCTTGTCACTGGAGCATGTGTATTTCAGTGTTTCCAGTGCAACAGCTGTACCACAACTGAGGGTCAAGAAGTCATAGTACTGGAAGTCCCAGTTCGACCTTCACACATTGTTGCTCCATATATCTAGACTGATATTGTAATTTTGCCTTTTGCACCTCAGCCAGGAAAGGGATCTTAAAAAATATTTTAACATTGTGGCATTTTGGCTTGCTCTTAAAGCAGCTCTCTATTTTTTCAATGGCCTAAAACCACAGTTTTCTGTGATGCCCACAGAACTTTTATTTCAGGGCACAAAGACTACTACACGAAAGTGTTTTACCTGAGTAGGCCTAAGTCTACGTTTGATATATGTGTGGRTATGGTCACTGCTTGATCTCTGTCATTGCTTTCTTCAGGAGCAGAGCCCTTGGGTGACATTGGGTTGAGCACAGGGTGATACAGTTTCCATTCCTTCTGCAGATAAATGCCCAAAGCCAGTCACCTATATCCTTAACTTAGGTCTGAAACCCCTCTTTCAACRTTCAATGAGAAGGAAGGAACTGGACTTCRATGATCTTTGTGGGTCCCTTCCAACTCAGGATATTCTATCATTTAATGATTCTATGAAACATGGAATTTCTGTAATAATTACTGGCATCAATCACTTCTCTGGTATTTGCTTGWGAGAAACTCATTACCAGGTATCCGGGATCTGTTAAGATCTGGGCATGGCCGTCTTGCATCAATCCCTAACGTCCAAATGCCTTCCACAAGTTGGCTCATGTTAGATTAGGAGAGAATCTGCCTGCTGGATATATGGGATTCCCTGTGGGCACAGGCCACCGTCATGGTCTGTGGTCGATGAATATGTGTGAGAAATGATCAAATCAATGCTCCTTTCAGAGTAACAGCACTGGAACATCAGGATCATCGTGTGCATGTGATGTGTCTCGATACCAGGACATTCCTGAAGACTGAGGTACAACTTAATGAAATTGTGAGAACTGACGTAGCACCTCAAATTCCGCTCAAAAGAGATGGACCAGATCCTCATCTGTTTTCCATCTGTGCTTTTTTTGTCTTTTTATCCCTTCAAGATTTCTTATTGCGTATCCTTCCCTAGGCTGTGATTCAGGAAGCAGTCGTGGTACACATGGGAGCAGTCCTGTTGTGGTCAGTGGGGGCATCTTCTCCTCCTGGTGCCCCTCAGGACCCAGACAGGGGCTGTGTCCATGTGTGCCATGCCTGATGCACTGCTCACCCTCTGACACCTCAGAGCAAGTCCATGGGAAGGCTGAGAGGATGAGCTCACCTTTCCAGTGTGCCAAAAAGGAAACCTGTGCTGCTTTTGATCTGTTATTTATTTTGAGTGTTACTCTGACTAGACATAAAATAAAACCCAGACAAAACAAAAGCAACTTGAAGCCTCAGGTGTTTATAAAAAATGTGGCTCAGTAAATTGTTATTATAAAAGGCAAATTCTCATGGAGTTGCAAATGAATGAAAATTTAAAGCTCAGGATTTGTCTTTCCCACTTGACATCAGCACCTGTGGTCATGCTCTGGAAGTTTGACTTGTTTTGTCATTTTTGATACACAAAATAAACAAAACCTGAGACAAAGGGCAATCTTGTAAATAGAGGAGCAGCCTCTGGGGAATTCTATTTTATTTGTTTGCATTTCATTACCTTTTTATGCCAGCTAATAAGGTGACCTTGCAACAGACAGGTGCAGATAAGGATGATAACCTCTGTTGTGTGATTTTGCAAGCTAGGAAGTAAATTGCTTAAATTATTGGGAATAGGGAGATTGTCTGTGAAAAAAAATAATCTCCTGCTTTCGTTAATTAAAGGAGTATAGTTTTATGAGACAGACTGAGGTGATTAACTGTTATAACTATTAGGGGGAAAATAAATTAAAACAGGCTGGTATTTTTCTGTGCTTCAAGAAGAAAAGAGCRGYRGTGCTGAACCACAGCCAGCCACTCTGACCACTCTTGCCTGTAAAAAGATAGAGATCACCTGCTGACAACATGAAAGAATTTGAAACCATGTCTTTAAAAAACATTCCTGTAGTTTAAGCTGGAATTCCTCTTCTCAGACCTTGCCAGCAACTCTTGGAGAGTATTAGAGTTCAATGGCTTTTCCTGGCAGGGCAAGCTCGTACGAGCCAGGGGCAGAAGGGAGTGTGGTACCATGTGCCAAGTTTAGTTTTGTTGAATTGAGATACTACCAGTGCGCAGAGAAAGGATAATGGCAATGGGCAAGACCAGCAGCTGCACAAAGCAAAAGGAGAACTACAGCCATGCCCCTCCAATGACCAAAAAGCCCCCAAAAAATCCTAAAAAGGTCAGCCACCTTCCAAGATGGAATAGGTTCATGGCAGGGCAGAACCCACACCCAGATAATTTTTACAATCTTCCCTTGAATTCTGAGGTTAAAGTGAGGGGCAGAACATGCACACTATTGCAATCAACCTTTTGCAAAACCCCACAGAACTGGAAGTATGACTGTCCCTGGTGAATACATGCCCTGCTTGCCCTTCTCACCCCCCAGCAGACATCTAGAAAAACTTCTTTCAGAACCRAAGTGTTACCAACATCAATCTGTTCCTGTTTGCAAAAATCTGTAATTTTGCTGCAGGACTATTGTGTCAACACAGTTTAAGGTGCCTCCAACCAAGCATAGRATGATGTATGAAACAGGTTGAGACTGGATTAGGAAGCTACTGTCAGTGGCTTCAAATGATGTGGATTACTCTGTTGCTGCAGTTAAGTGGAAACCAGCAAGATACATCATAAATGTTCAGATTACATGCATTACTGGTTATGTTGTTGTACTGACATTCCGTGTATACTTTACTTCATCCCATCCTGCTTCTAAACAAAAATGTCTTTCACCCTCTAGGAGGAAGGAAATGCAGAATAAAAGCAACTCTGAAAGGTAATCAGGGCTGCAGTGTTTTTGTCAGTAGTGAAATATGCAGTTGCCAGCACATTGTCTGGGGCTGAATGGTGAGTGATGCTCCATCTGCTGAGAACATTGGTGGTTCAGATGTTCTTGCAGATGTCCTGTGGGATTATGGATGTGTGCTGAACCCGCGGCGCCCTGTGATGCCCTAGTCACGCTCTCAAGGAAGGACACCCAACATCCACCTGCCAGCAAGCAGTGACATGCTGGGAGGGTGGCATCTGCTAACTCAGCTCCTCTCATGCACTGAGTGAAAAGGTGCCTGAAGTAGATGCCTGGTTACCGAAATCAGTGGAGAAAAGCCGGTGCCTTTGAAGGCTTCCACAGGGAGATTCGGTTTGGGGACAATCTACATTTAGATGCGGCAGCCTTGACAACAGAATTCTACATTTCTGGACCATGGGCTGCTGCCATTGACAGAAGCATCAGGGGTTGAGGTTGTTCCCATAGCTGAACCACCTTTTCTGGGTGTCTGGGACATGTTTGTATCTCTTTCTGAACACTGTGCCCATGACGCTGGTGGCCTTTGTATCACTGACTCTGCCCTCTGTGGGGTAGACTCATCTCTCCATCTTTGGTCACCCCAAACACCAGGGTGGCAGTGGGGCCTGTGGGGTTCAACCATGTCCTGGGCAGAGACCTTAGGCAGAGCAGAGCAGCCAGCAAACAGCTCCTGTTCCACCACATTTCTTCCTCTTTCTGGACATAACCTTTTTCTCCTCTTTTCCGCTCAGTGTTCCTACTGGGCTATCTCCCATGACATCCACCTCACCCCGTGGGGAGGGGGCCAGTGCCAGGATCCTTCAGCTTTCCAACCCACATGTGTAAATGCTGGATTTTAGCCCACAGCTTCAAATATTTCTATCCCAAATGTGACGACAAAAATCTCATTAGCTTCAAAGAAAGTTAGACTGGTCCTAATGGGGAACTCTGTTCTCCTAAGGATTAAATGTTTGTGGGCTTCCTTGTAAAGTTAGCCCTGGAGCTGCAGTCCTGGTGACCTGGATATTAGGGCATAGGTGAATTCATGTTACTCACCTAGCCTGTGAKTTTACTGTTTGTCAGTGAAGGGTCTGTTCACCTGTCATATGATTGTGCAAATTCACCTTCCATGTGAGTCGAGATTTAAGTTTCGCTGTTTTTCAGGGTCTGACTATGTGCAGAGGGAGTTGTAGTCATTTTTTTTTTTCCACGGGTACTTCCTTTCTCAAAACACCACCCCTTGGCAGTGGACCTGCTGACACCTCAGAGCAAGGCACAGATAAAAAGGGCAGCCTGTCTTCCTTCTCCACACTCAGAGGCAAGTGGCAGAGACTACTCAGAAGCTTGGAAGCTGCTGGCATCGCAGGCATCTCGGGTAGAAGCTCTGACAAGAACCATGTTCAGCAGTGCTGGTGAGTTTTTAATGCTTGATATATGTTAGGTGTGAAGTTTGGCAAGTCTCCTGCAGGGAGGGTGGCAGCTCCAGAGGTTCTCACCCCTCTGATTGCCATGGATGATACCTCGATGAAAGAAGTTTTGGTGCCACCGCTGCTCACAGGGGATCAGTTTGCTCTGACTGTGCAAATTCTGCTTTTGACAGGTTGGTAAACTGACTGCMAAACGCAACTCATTTTTCATCCCTTTTCTTCAGCCTCTAGACATGTTTCCATCAGTGATAATGGGAAGGAAATGCCGCTCTTTTCAACTTGTTCCATATCAGTGTTAAATAATTTCTTTCAGGCTGCTTAATAATATAGATTATTGCTCTTTAGTGATGTCTGATTGCATCTGATGGGARTTTCAAAATAACTGAAAGGAGGATTTATTTGGGCTTGAGCTCTGTCCGTGGCTCTCCTGCCTGCCCTGTTGTCAGGAGGTCCTGCACCAACCTAGAAAGGTGCCTGGGTCACTCCTGCAGCAGCTGCCAAACCACCACCATTGGCCAGCCCAGCCCCAGGATGCCCAAAACCCCTGGGATTTGGGATGCAGCTGAACAGGTGCACATGTTGGGAGCAGGTCTGCATGTCCTTCAGGAGGGGAGGGGTTGGACACTGCTCTGAGTCCCTCGATTTTATACCTCTGTAYTCTGAGTGTGGATGAGCTGAAATTTTCCAGGAGGTCTTGGCCACCTGCATCTTTGGGATGTGATCTCACATCTYTGGGATGTGCGAGTGTTGGCCTGGAGGCTGAGCAAGGATCAGGAGTAAATGTAGGTATCCCAATTATGTTCTCTCTTGAAAAACTACAGTTCTCATTGCACTTCCCTTCTATCCTTCTGACAGAAGGGAAGTGTTCCCACTGAACCCAGATATACCATAAATACTCTGCTCCTTATTAATAGCTTTTTTAAACCCTATCACCTCATCATCATCAGGGGAAAAAAGCCCCAGATACTTACCAATGCCAAGCCCTCAYATCCCCATTTTTGCTCTGGGCAATCACCGTGCTCTTGAAGCCCTGAACACCTCTCCAGGCAGGCAGCAATGCAATGGGGCTTGTGGGTTAGAGTAGGAAGGAGCGCTGTACGTGATAAATCATGAAACTAGGAGATAAAATGCTGACTTGAATTATTTTCTGTTTAAAAAGCAAAATAAACCTGACAGCATTTGAGGTTTGGGATTGCTTCTGGCCTGGCCCAGGAGCGAGCACAGACAGGACTGCCTCTCGCAGCCTGAGCCTCTGTCCTGTGAGCAGCCACATTCCTGGTATTCTATAAATCATTAATTTCCGTGTTGGCACAGCGAGGTGCCTGCAGGCAGCCGGACACAGGGTGTGGGGGTGCCCAGCTGTGTGCCCGGGCAGAGGCAGAGCAGGAGGACAAAAGCAGCAGGTGAGAGATGCCCAGGGAAGGCGGGCTGCGGCCAAGCCCCCTCGGATGTGGTGATGGGTGCGCCACTGGCTCGCTCCGAGGCATTCTTTGGCACAGGATACYGTGCCAGTCAGATCACAGGSTATCACAGGTGTGTTTGCWCTGGAATAAACACAGCACAACTGAYGGGCAGCCCTGAGTGGGGACAGATCTTTGGCACCGTGCTTAGCACAGTCAGGCTGTATTCTAGGGCAGCTGTTGTCAGTGGATTTTCCCTGTGCACCCTCAACAGAGGTTGACAACACTGGTGATGTGCAGAAATGGGATGGAAATGCAGTCCCTAAGTTAAGAAATGTTGGAAGGATGGATTTMCTAGGGCCCTTTCCCACAGCCATTCTATGTGCTCAACTCCCACASCCCTTTGCAGCCCTCTCCCAGCACCAGCGCTGCTTTCTGATGTCCTCAGCCCAGCACTAGGACTTCCATAAAGAACAAAGCTGAGCAGCTTTAGTGTTTGGAGATTTCTTAATGCTGAGGAAGATGCACTTCCTCTTTGTCCTCAAGAGGGTTAAGCAGCCAGCTCCAGATGAAAGTTTTTGACATAAATGTGCACACACCCCATTGCGCAAAGCAACAGTCCGAGGYTGGCAACTGATACGCAGCATGCAAACAAGAAAACACTCAAAGATTAAATTGGTTAACAAAAGGTGCTGGTCAGTTTAAGTCTGTTTGCTGTGCCACTTATATCTGTTATGTAATTAAGATAAATATGGTTTATATAGTTACTAAGAAGTCTGGTGGGGATCCAGGGGTGGTCAGTTCAGTTTACTCARGGCTGCAGTCGCTGACCAGCACAGGTCTCAGTAGGAAGTGTGCCAGTGAATTCAGCCAGCCCTGGGACCAGCCCGGCATGTGGCATCTCTCACCCCGCAGCAGCTATCAGCAGATTTCAGGCTCCTCAGTGTCAGGGATGGCTCTTGTTGATACTCAGATTAACATGGTTGCCTGGTACCATGCAGATCTGTCAAGACATTTGGTGAATTAATCTCTTCAACCATTATTCTTTTGACTTGCTAATTTCAAAGTTACCGTAACCCGTTCTTGCCTCTCCCATGTCTTCATCTGAATCAGTCATGAGAAGAGTGCTTATGAGGTATTGTTACTCCCTACTGTTCACACGGAATTCATCCTTTGAGGATGCCCTTAGTGGGCAGGTACAAGACATAAAACGCTTCCGAAGAAATACGGTTCAGCCGCATTCCAGCATGCTCTGGCTTTTCCTGTCACAACTGGGCAGCTTGCCAAAGCCTGATGCAGTGACCCCCAAATCCCCATCATCATTCAGAGCTGAGGGCTTTCTTTTTGCTCAAGYGTATCACTGGGTTGTGCCTCTCAGAGCTCCACTCCTGCGCCACAGCCCAGAGCCACAAGCCACTGGGCACAGAGGTTTTGAGGCTTTTCCCAGCCCTGCTCCAATCCAGAGTTGTGGGAGAGAAGGGCAGTTGAGGAGGCAGTCATATYAAATGCTGTGTCTTAAAAATCAGCTGCTGTGTTGGGAATGAATGGGAGCAAATCACTTGCAAGAGATTCTTGTTGGGGTCTAAATCTGTGCTGAAGCCAAATGGGAAAAGCAGCAGCTGGCATGAAAGGGTGCAGTGCTCTGTTGTGAGTGTACTACAGCAATCCATCCAGAGCAGGGACAAGSTCCTGCCTTGCCCTCTGACTCTTTGGCTCTGGGCTGCTGCAGCATGATTCTATCTCCTCCTCTCTC